CCTTTTTGGGATGCGCCACGCGTTCCACTTCCATTCACATCTTACTGGCATCTGATTGCTTCATAGTCAATGATTTTCATGGGCTTGCTGATGTGAAAGTCAGTGTTTTCATTTCCTTGTATATGTTTAATGCCGAATAATTGACCCAATAGGGTTGAATTGCTAGGTTTCGGCGAGATCCTATCATGATTCGATCCCCGGAGGATGAGCATGGGAATAGCGCCTCTTGCCAATACACTACTTCAGCCCATAAAATATACATAAATGCTCATAAATTTGTTGATTCTCGTGTTTCTATTCAAACGTTCTTCGATTTATTGTGTACTCACATCGCTGCACCACAAACTTAAACCTAAACTTATTCGTATATTTCAGGATTGAATGAGTTCAGTCGCTCAAAAAGGTTTGTTGGCCTTGTCGATTGTATTCATTTTGGGAGGCTTGGGTTTGACAATTGCCGGACTTTTTTCGCCAGCATGGCAAGTGGTCGATATTCGAGAATTCCGAGCCGAACATCAGGTTCGCTTCAAGCACTTATTTCATCTCTCCATTTACTTTCAACTTCGATTAGTCGATCAATCCATTTTTATACGCCACGAATTCGAGTTCTATAAGATTGAATTGTGGTATTTTATAACCTATACGCCCTGAACGCTAACGTCTGAGAGCCTGACGGGGTTATTCTGCGCTCCGGCGAGAGTATCCACAAGCCCAATACAAGCATACGAGTGTTATGATTGGCTTTTCCATTCTCGATGCATGAGGGCTGCTCCACCCAGGATCAACCGTGGCGTTTGGCCGATGCAATTTTTTTTCACTCCCTCCATTTGAGGGATTTGGAGAACCACCACACGAGGGGGGGGGGAGATCCACAATTACGACCGCTCCCCATTTTTCCACACCCCTATCCACTCCCACCAGTGTGACTGTCCCAGCATTTGATTCTGTAACTGGCTGGCCCACTGCAACTGCCCCATTGCCCCATACAGAACTGGAGAAAGCGAGAGAGAGAAAGAGGGAGAGGTGAATATGTCCCTAGAAAGGGCAAATGCTATACTTTTGTCTAGTTCATATTTAATTTTGAGGCAACTGCAAAAAATTGGGTTGAAAATCCGCGAAGAAACCATCCCCCTCTGCCACAAACACCGACCCCTTTCAACAAATGTACATTTGGACGTCCTTTTGACTTTCTCCCCATTTACCCCCCCCTGTGCCCAAACCGCAATATGACCTCTGCCCGGATCGCCCAGGTAAACGGTCAACACTGCTTTTACCCTCGGCATGGCTACTTCGTTCCTGTTGCTATTGTCACTGATGAATTCGCGGCGCTATCTCAATATACGGGGACATTGTGATGGCAATGCATAGAAACGATAGAACATGTGTTTCTTGTTAAAAATAGGCTAGCTTATTAGGCGAGCGAGGAACAAATGCGTGGGCGGAGCTTACTTGATCTGTATTTTCCGGGAACTCCTGGCCGCTCCTCAGCTTGGTCCTGGAGGATGCCCCCGTATATTCTGATGGCGCCGAATTTTTTTAGATGTGATCATCAAGATAAGTCTACTTTATTTTACATTCCGTACAAATTCGGACAATAGCTTCTTGGGCCAGATTTTAGCTAAAACAGTTGGTGCTTTGAGAGGTATGTGAAAAAAGCCATGAGCGTTTGCACTCTTTTGGAGGCTGTTGGTCGTCATAAGTTCTCCACCTATCCAACCTCAATTTTTTCAGATTTAAATAATTCTGGAATGAATTTTTGTAATTCTTCTGTGTTCTCATAGCCATGTAATTAATTTATTTTATTTTACAGCTATCTGAAGGAATTGTATGTTAAAAATGCTTCTACCTCTTCAGCACGGATATATGGTGGTGGACTAGTATACGAACAGAGAATGGCAATGTGGTCGCCGTCGGTGACTTTTACGATGTAATCGCACTTATTTGCAATGACAAGGTATTCTTCTCACAATTTTCGATTGTCCAGCCAGCCATTTCTTCCATGGTGCTTCTTTAGGATCGTTAATCTAAATCTTACTCTGGCGATATGGGATAACATTTGGAATAACAAATTGCGATCCCCAATTTCAGTAATGGTGACTTGTGTCAGCGAATCGGAACACGAGCCTTTGTTGAAAGTGGGATTTCCCTTATCCCATCCCCTCAACTCCTGAGAAAGAATAAGCAAGAAAATCCGCCGCCACTAATCCAGAAAAAACTTCCCTGCCATCAGATTTGAAAATTAAGCGACTCCCGGAAATTTCTTCAAGGGGACTCTGCGATGGATCTTTATCTCTGAGACCTGAAATTACATGATTCACAATAAATCTTTTTATACAACCTTTTTTTTTTTACATTTAAACGCTATAACCAAGCATTTGCAGTTCGACAATTCAGCCGAAATGGTCATAGAGAACACCCTGAACAATATCGATGAGGATGGAGCTGCTGGAGAAAGCGAGCATCATCGATTTTGGGGTAAGTGAATCCATACCGCAAGATTATGTGATCGTTTCTTGCTCTTTGGAGTTTGTTTTGCCGTTTGACTATTTTCCAATGGAAAGCTTCACTAGAACCTTGATGTTTGACCCTGATCTTCTGCTGTATGAGTGAACCAGTTTTGTCCCCTTGTTCCCGCAGGAACCTCCTTGATTGGCGAAATTTGTGTTGGAGTGGGGTATTTCACATAGAAAGAAAGCATGATTGCATTCAGAATTTTAAAGAAAGAACGGCGCTACTGCAAGACACAGGGGCATTGTGGTGGCAATGCATTGGTTTCAAATTCTACTGTCTTAGGTAGGGGAGCAGTGCGCCTTCATGCGTGAGCCATTTTCATTTTGCCTGGAGTTCCTGCCCCTCCTAGGCCTATGTAGTCCTTAAAGATGCCCCTATATATTGTGATAGCGCCAAAAATTATTCGATTTCAGCCTGGCACAAAGCAATACTGTTCTTCATCATCACCTCGCAATTGTTGGCGTTCCTGTCGATCTGCACGGGAGTTTGCGCCACGTGCTTTCCCTCCGACCGCTTTCGTCTTCACAATTTCCCTCTTCGTTGCTTGTGAGTTTCATTTCCGGGTGAAAAGAACGTACTTGTGCAGGACAGAGTCGATTTCAGTATTATGTTCGCTGATTGCTGATGGAGTCTTCTTTTTGGCAGCAAACCGTGTCGATAATCGGTTCGTTCAAGGCATGGTCGGCACATATGAGGTTCAGTTTAAGAAGCTTGGATTCCAAATGTTTTGACACACTTGTCTCGTGCTACCCTACTGTTCCTGGCATTTGTTGTTAGGGGATGAATTTCTTACCGCCCGAGTAATGAAAGAGATATTGACAGTTTCCACTTGCGAATGTTTTATTCCCACGGATATCAAGCAAATGACTTTTTGCGCAATATTCCGAGAACACTGAATCGCCCTAGAGTATCGTGTCAAAAGTTTGAAAACTTTTTATTTTTGCCTATCGCAGGCCGACGCATAATAAAATTGCCTCAAATTCAGGTATTACACACAAAGTCAGGTCCAGAATACGATGGAAAGAATAATTTCCGAAAATCTATAACCGTGTTCAAGAAATAAGATTTTTTATCAAGAATGTGGCGCGTCAAAAGTTTGGAAACTTTTTGTTTCCCTCATCATTATGATTCCTACTCTTCAACGTTCACTTGTTTCTGTTAATTTTGTTAAGACCATTGAGCAATGTGTAATTTCAAAATGAATTCATATGCAAAGAGAAGCAGTTTCTCATGGATGGTCCTTTTTTGGACCCTACAATCCGGAATACGAAATAGAAATTGTTTCTTAGTAGTTCAGTCTCTACGAAAGCAATACTTATCGAATGTTTTTAGTGTTTTTTGGAGCCGAGTAAGTATAAGACGAATGACCATTCACAAAAAAAGTATTCTCACAAGAAAAATTGCCCCTCCTCAAATACTTCAAAGGGTGGTTGGCACGCCCCGTACCCGCGATATGCCCAACTAAGAAACGATTTTTTCTGGTTTGAACCTAATTCCCATGAAAGTACAGCACAGCGCGCAACATTGCTCACGACTGGGAATATCAGCAGATGATACTTATATGGTTATATGCTGTATATACTGCGAACTTATACTTATACTGATATCTCAGCAAGAAGCCATTGTTGGCTTTTATAGCAGGATGGCCCAACTGGCTTCCGCACACAACGGCTAACATAGACGTAAGGCGAGGTAAAACTTTGTCCTCAGCGACGAGCAGGATTTCTATCTTCCTAAAAATGATGTTGTGGACCCTGTGAAGTGTTCAGTCAAATGGAAACCTCATTTAGAGTATAAGATCCCAACATTCAGAAATAGTGGAAGTATTGCCATGGATGGAGATGTGTCCGACCATTCGGCGATTCCCCAGTTCTATGTATCCAGCGAAATGTGGGTTGGGCTAAGTACAAGTATAGTCTGTAGAATACAATGCTTACCTTAGATAGTCAGAACTGGCCGAAAAAGATGGGTTTTCTATCGTGGAAATGACCCAATGCAGGCCTACCTCCTCACTGCCGCCTTCCTAAACCCAGAAAAAGAAGCTGTTATGAAGCGACCAAGTCGAGATCTAAAGTCTAATTGAGTTCTACATCCCACGGAAGAACTGGCATGTCGCTCAACCCACATTCCAGTTAAGAATCCCACAAACAATGTGATTTAGTTCACAGTGTGTAGGTTCGACTTAAAAATCCTAAATTATTTTATAATCAATACCATGTCAATAAAAACGACGCTACATAGAAATTTAAAGCTACTCATCAAATAACTAATTTATCATGTGGATTTGAGAGCTATTTTGCCGAATTCGCTTTGGAATTCGGAAGTTTCCAAACTTTTGACGCGCCATTTCTTATAAAAATTCGTATTTTTCAAATGCGATTTCAGTTTTCGAAAAATTATGTTGCCCATCGTAATCTACACTTGATTCTGAATATAATATGTGAATTCGGGACAATTTCATTGTCTATTGGCTACACTAGATCAAAAATAAAAAAGTTTCCAAACTTTTGACCGCTACTGTATATTTAGTAACTGTTCGCATGCCAAGTCCCGCCCACTTCAGAAACCACGCCCATTGATCGAAAGGCATCACATAGGCTCTCAATCAGATTAACTTTAGCGCAATGGGAGTTTCAGTTCAAGATCAAAATTACCAGTCGCGTGGGCAGTTGCCACTGCATGTTCGTTCACACTCTTCAGTGGAAGTGGAGGAATCTGTTAACCTGGAGGAATGTAGGCAGTTAGGGGGGGGGTAGGGACTTGATTCGCGTAAAATGCTGAAATGTAGGAGACCATTTCGTAAAAGGGTGCAGACATTCTGCGCTTCCTTTCCCCCGCCCAACTGGGTTAGCGCTAAGCAATCTATGATATTTAAAACGTTCTTAAAACCAATCCTTAATTACTTTCTCGAATTTCAGCAACGTATTGGCTACGCTTTCTACCTGCACGTGATGGGCACAGTCTGTTGGATGATAGCGTTCATTTGTGCGATCACCACCACCTACAAGTTCATAAATGTCAGGGATTCACGTGGCAGGTAAGCGATCGCGATTGTTGTCGCCGTGCGCGGTGATTTGGTGTGCAGTTGCGGACTTTCTCCTGTGTTGCTTTGTAGTAGTGGTGCGCATAGGCGATTGTCTTAGCGTCTATCACAATCACCAACACGAAGATTTTCGGTTACAAAGTCACCACTCCCATTCAATTGAATCAGTTCTTCATTCAGTGTTGATTTTTTCTAGCAAGGAAAATCTATTCACATGGCAATCGCAACGAGCCGCCACGCACAACGTGTAATTTTTCCGACAATTTTCGTGCATTTTTGACAAAACGGCAAAAATACGCAGAAAATTTTGTGGCCTTTGGAGGCCTATTTTGTCTTCAGCATCATCCAAGGACCCATTCTCAGCTACTACCGTAAAGTCAAGGTAACTCGGGCCTCCGGCGGCTACACTGACTATGACTTATAGATCCGGGCTAGGGCTTGAGGCACCCGGCGCACATGTCCTTAGGTGGATATTCAGAATACGGTATATAAAAGTGGCTGGTAAGTTACACTAGAGTACATAGGTGCTCACAACCTCCCTCCCCCTCCCTTCCCCTCTCTCCATCTCACTTTCTTACCCTAAGGTTTAGTCCCAAGTTCTGCGAGTGTTCAGTCAGCACCAGGGCAGCAAACCCTCAAGAAACTTTGTGGGGGCAGGGTCTTCGTCGAAATGGACCCTTAGCCTATCTGCAGTAGTAATTCGAAGGGTTCCGCGCTATTTCTGACGGGGGATTTGTTCGATAGAACATACCTGTTCCCACAGAGGTAGATAACCCGGCGGCAGCCGGCGCTACAAGATTCGCAGCTCAGAGCTCACCTAAGCCAGTAAAACGTTTCATTATTCGATGATAGTGCACTGATCAATCCATGGGGGTGAACATGTAAATTGTACGATGGCTGGGTGCCGTGAGCGTTTTGTGGACCAAATAAGCGTCCAAAAGTTTCTGAATGGAAGTTAGACGCATGGCGCGTCCCAAAAAGGGTCAAATGAGCTTCCTGTTATTCCCTATTTTTGCCAAATGCTTCTATTTTGGAATTAATTTCAGACCTCGCCGCTACGGTATCCTACTCTGCTTGGATAGTTTTATAGTTTTACATTACCCTAACCTTGACCTTACCTTACCCTTCGGCCGTGTGGTTGTCTATAAAAGCTCAAATTTTGACTGATCTCAGGGTCCAAAATGGTTTTTTCGAATTAGGATTGAAATTTGATGATGTACTGCGTATTCAAACAGTGAATGGTACCTTGGATGATCCTTCAAAAAATTCCAAACGATTGATATTCTGCGTATTCATGTTCTAAGTGTATGGTTTGGTGTGCGTGGTACTCTAACACGATTGCTGTCACACTCAACGCATGGTGGTTGTGGTCTTTAGTAGCTTTCCGCCTCTATCCTTTTCTCTTTGCACCGGCTAAGGCCAGAGATATAGTTTTAAAAAAGTCGCGTCAGATAGGGGTTAACGCTTTGAGTTTTGGGCAACGAGGGAGTCTCTTGTCCGTGTCACTATGGAAAGCCTCAACCTGAAGAAAACCCAAAGTTGGCTTGTGTGTCCCAAGTTTACAATGCGGCCTCCGTCTCTTTACTCGACAACATTTTTGGGAAATTTTCAAACCGACCAGTGCCCTCCCTCCTACCCCATTCCTACCTTTTACACAAAGACATGAATATCTTCCACATTGAAACTAAAGAAGTGTTTGCTTACTGGTGGTGCGATATCTAGGGGACGAACTGTGGTAATTCATGTCATTGGTGGAAAAGGCGTTGAGAGGCGGTCCGACCACAACCCTCAATACGCCGCCTTCCACGTGAGGTGACCTCACTGTTTTCAGTCTATTCAGTTATGAGCCACTCGACGTAGTCAAACCTGGTCGAGTAACAAGACTTGCAGCTGCGGATTCGCTCTCGCCCCCCCCTTCCGCATCCCCTCCCCTACGGTGCTATACAGCCTAAGCCCGAGCTAGAATCCACCGGTGTGAAGTGAGGCTCCCTCCACATAGCACCCTAAAAAGTTGTTTAATTCTGAATAAATATTTTTGCCCTCGGGGCTTCAGAGCTGCAAAATATGAGAAGCAATAATGCCTAAATTTAATTAGTGCAGTGATAGAAAAACAGGTGAAACTCCAGTTCGGGGGGGCCACTCCATTTTTTCTCCAATACTCAAGATAAGGATTAGAGGGCTCACGACACGTAATCGACTCATTTAAAGTAGACTTCTGATAAATATTGGTGTAATGGGTGAGAAACCCTGAAACGTTTTCACATTTCCGCCTGCCATGACCCAAGGGAACGGTCCTGGACCAGGAGAAAGGACACCTCCGCAAAGGGCTAAGGGTGCAGGAGCTCCAGGGTGGATCACCTGTGCAGAAAAGTGGATGGGATGTGGGCAGGTAGTGTGGAATGTAGGACATCCACCGGTCCTTATCAAAAGTACGCTCGAAATGAGTCGTTCACTTATTATCTTATCCGTAGTGTTCGATAGCCCAAAGAACTGCTCTCTAGTACTACGGATAAGATAGCAATGGAGTGGCCCCCCCCCCCGAACTGGAGTTTCACCAATTTATCATATTATGACTTCGTATTCGCACAGGAATACATAACAAATAATAATGAGTTCCTTTCGCATTCATCAATTGCTAGGCACGGGTTTTACCACAGAACAATAACTATTCTTCAGCACATGCCCAAAGAAACACCGTAAATTTTTGGGCTGGAATTAAGTCGTTTTCGAGTCATACAAGAACTCATTCATCTTCAAAAAGTGTTTCCCATCACAATTGCCTGGAAAATTGCTGTATTGGTGGTAAGTGCTACAATTCAGCTTGCCCAGCCGGGTTTTTCATCCAACCGACACCTAAACCTAACGCTGTAATGAGGCTGTGAATGTAAAATGTATCACTGTACAGACATCTATTCACGACAAATCACGAATGAAAAGGTTCCTTGGAGGGCAGGCCTCAATCGTAGAACCTGTAAAGGAACTCCATTTCAGGAAAAACCTTTCAGATGCCATTAAAAACATAGGCTAGCTGTTTGAGAAATCAAATATCTAAGGGGTTGCTCCCTTGAGACCTCAATGTCACAGAGAAGTCGCACCTATATTTCACGTTAGAGCTAAAGAAGCTGAATGATTCAGGAGGAGATGGAGCAGTTCGACTGATTGCGTCAAGATTAGGGAACTGAGGAACCCTTATCTCCCAATTACTGGTGGTCATCATTGAGATAAACTGCCTATGGAGGAAGTTTCCAAAAAACTGCGGTTGCCATTCGCTTTTTTGCCTCATTCAGGTGTAAACTAGGATTGAACCAAGTGAAAGCTCATGGCTAACTCACATGTAATCTCACCAGAAAAAAAAGGCTGAAAGCTGGAATCCTCCATCAAACCCTCACTGTCACCATTACGTCACAGGCACACTTCCTTAGTCTGGGAACAAAGGGAGGCAAATCCAGCAATCATCTTACTGAAGCAAGCCCTTGCGTGAGATAGCGAGGTCAGCACCAAAAAGTCGCGTTTTGCTGCCAGAAAAGTGTAGCAAAGTGTTAGGCGCTTCCAATTTAGAACCACCCATGGATCATGTAACCTTGCACGGGTCCTTTAGACGGTCTCCCTCACGGACTACCTATTGCTGTTCAAGCTATATGAAGCTATTCTTTGGTCGAAAAGGTAGCGATCCCTTCAGATTTACATGTTTTCATGCGATGGTCTATCGCTTTTACACACACACACACATTACTGCTGCCCTCTACTTTGGGAACAGGGGGAGTAGAGAAGGGGCTAACTTGGTAAAGACTATCAATTATTCTTATCCATCCCCACCGGCAAATGCTGCTGTGCAGTTCCTCTTTTCTCATTTTCTGACCCAGACTCAAACAAATTTCTCATTAGCCATTTTTCGCCATGGAAAACGTGACGGCGGAAAACCAGCAAAGCCACCAAGGGATTAAATGGAAAACGAAGCCAAAATCTTGGACCAAAGAGGGAGCAAAGAAAAAACAACAACAACAAAGAAATAACAAAGAAACAGTCAGATTGGAGTTTAACAAAAGCACTAAGGGGGGGGGAACAAAGGAATTCTTATCTTCCGTTTACAAACAAAGACAAGGAGACCCAAAAAAATAGAAAGCGAAGGGACAGAAAATTTGACTGCTTTTGAGAGTTTCGGAAGCTCTAGTCGTCTTAGTGAGAGGCCGCAATTGATGAATGCAATTTAAGTAGTAGCCACTGACCTCTACTAGTTAGCCTCTACTCACCGCATCTGCTCGTTGTGTTCTGCATGTGCTGCACTCATTACAGGATGTACACACGATGATTTTGGCCTCTCGTTCCAGTCATGAATTACGAGTACCACGTGAAGAACCGCTACTCTCCAAATATCCACCATCATCTTCACAAGCCTATCGTCCATCACCTCAACCCGCGTTCAGGCCTTCACCTATTATGCCTAATTATCGAGAGACAAGTGCCTAAACGCTGTCACTGTCACACATCGCTGCTGCTGCTGCTGCTGCTCTCATCGGCTTTTCCTCATTGTTTCATTTTTTACCTACAGTAATCTCCTTTTCTCGCTCTCATTTCGAGTGCGTGTTTTCATCCGCCCCCGCATTGCCATCGCCTCTGTTGATCTTTCTCGATGTGCTGTGAATGTTTGTCCGTTTGATTGTATTCCACTAAGTTCCAGGTGATTGTGTCCCATGCTAGCCTTAACTACGAAAACTCCCTCAATTTTCCTCGATGATTTTTTTCTGTATCATAGTTCTACGAAAGTCTTAATAGCTGTTTGCTTCTGTTTTGTGTCTGTCTTTTTGTCAGACTCTCAAAATTGTTTATTATTGAGTATCAAGAAAAATCATTTTATGAGAAGACATTGTTTTATGATTGTTCACACTTGGTCTCATTTCAATGATAATTGTGAATAAAGTAAATAAAAGCTGAATAAAAATGCATAAAAGCTCGGAGAGAGGAATGACAACGAGTAAAGTATTCCAATAACTCATATAGTGATGAAAAGGTAGAATTGCAGAGCGATGGGCCTCGACTAGTTCGATTGGGATGCGCCCCACATTGCTTCTATTCAGAATTACGACGTGTATGAATTGGCCTATTCTACGGTTTCCCGAATTTTTACCCATGCTCTATTTTCAAATATGGCACAAAGTAGAAAGTAGAGATACTGAAGAATGGAATGTTGAGGACTGGGAATAAGATCATCGAGATAGAAGTCTAATACATTAGCTTCTCAATTCGAGGCTTGAAAGCGTGTGGCACTGATAGGCTGTCCAATTGGCCCAATCGGATGCTGGATTGATCTGCTGAATTCAGGGTCAGAAATTATCTCCCCTCTATGTGGTAGTAAAGGACAACTCGTAAACAGTTGATCAACAGCGACAAGCGCAAAATATGCACTAGAGGGTTTCCCTTCATGCTTCTTGCTAAAGCCTAGGGAATCTTCCACAACAATACCTTCTTGGACATAACTCGACACGGGGAAACGCGAGTCTCTCCAGTGCCCGCCTAGAGAAGGGCGACAGCGACGAGAGGTCGTCTGTATAGCATTTGTTTCTGACGCGCAAAATGATGGCGCGCGAAAAACTGGGCGATATTTAGAATGAGGCATGCACTGAGGGTAACATATCGTTGTGAGGGAGGCAAAATGCTTAAATCGATAGAAAACTAATGCTATCTCCGTACTATAGACTGAAACTTCACTCTTGGTTACAATTTTGATACTCTGATTCTTTCGCGCAACTGCGCAGAAACTACTCCTGCAATATTAAAAAATTCTATGGTCATTATAAAATATCCAGGATAATGAGTTGCGCCTGAAGTCAAAACTTTTTTACCCAACTCACTACTGGTATCAAGACGCTTATCATGAGACCCTCGCGACAGGCAAGCGTGTCGGCTTGAAGGGTTTTTCTGCTTGTTGTTTGAGTTTACTGTAGCACTTCAGTGTCGAGTCACTAACAGTGTGGTCGTGGATTAATTCACACCATTATCATTTGGCACACGATGGCGATACGATACTTTTCTCTGGGATACGATGGCTCCCGCAGCAAATACGGAGCAAGCAACGCTGCTATTGCCTAACAGTGCTTTCTGAACGACTTAGTTCAACGCGCTTTCGAAAGCACTTTAAAGTGTGAAGCGGGTCCTTAGCTAGAAATTCAATAACGATATCATTTTACCACGGTCTGAATTCAAACATTCGACCCTACACACAACTCAGGTACGGTGGCTTAAGACAGTCCCTCATTTCCAAATACCGCGCGAGGCGAGTCACTAATTTCTGTATAATGGCGCGGGAAAGATCGTTACACTTACCATCAACCACATCTAACTCGCACACCAATAAGGCGTGACTGGTAGTCTAAACGCGTTCCACTGTGCTTGTATGATATTTCAGACAACGTTTAAAATCAAAGTAGAAAACACAAAAATCCTATCAGCACACTCGTCAAAATGTAAGCTCTTCCACCACCACAGAACAATTTCTTGTCAATGAAGTGGGCCTATAGAGAAGTCGCCTTTCGTTCAGTGGTTGTGCAGGTCGAAAGTTGAACGAATGACGCTCACCGTCAGATGCGTGAATTTGCCGCAGGCTGCTTCATCTGAACGGAACTCTCAGTTCAGGAAAATCTCAAAAATAAAGGAATAGAAATTGAGGGACTATTCATAGCACATTTGCTGCCCAACTCCTCGATAGTTGAGCCAAATTTCAATCGAACTCAAACAATGACTGACACTATATAAATGGCTTGAAAGTTGTCTTCTGGAGTACTTTTATCCCGGGCGAACCCGAAAATTGCACCACTTCGGCGTAAAAACGCCGAGCGCTCGCGCTATCATATCAGATTTGCACCGACGCCCGTACAGGCTTACTCGCAACGAGCTAATGTCATATTCATGCTCCACAGGCTTTCATACTTCTGACGACAGGTTTCCAGCAAAGGGCCAACCTTGATGATACTTCCTGGCAAACTCCGCACACCTCGGTGCACCCCCACCCACGACAGCATTCGTGACGTCTTTCCACGTCAACCTCCACCCACTCTTTACCCGCTCTCTGGGCCCTCTTGGAAGCTGACTATAGTGTTTCGTGGAAACTCCGCCCACCCTGGCATATGTGTTAGCTAAGGTTTTTTTTATTTTCAAAGTCTTTTATAAGCCCTATTGTACTGACCTGTGATAGTGTTATTGTGATCGGTTCTGCAAGAACGGTCCAAATGACTGCCTCATCGCAATTGGGTGTAGTAAGGCTTCCCTCGTAACGGTAAAACGCCTCAGTGTGCGCTGGAAGAAGTGGACGAAGACGGAAACCCTGCACGACGGTTTCATTGCCTGAAAATACTCTCGTATTTTATGGAATCGAAATTAGCAAGAACGTTTGATAAGTTATTTCGGTAACGAAGACAAGTCAGAAATTCAAGTTACCAAGAAATTAGAACGGCTAGAGCGCAGCGCAAAACTACCGCCACCAGCGCTCTCGAAAACCCGAATTAATCTCGTTTCATTTTAGCTGAAGCTTAGACAGTACCGCTACTTCCGCGGCCCTCTCATCGAGGTTGTCCCAATAAGCAGAGCAGAGCTGCTACAAATTCCCTAGCAACTTGCTGAGGGATTTTCACGTGCAAAATTGGTAAAATATCATCGAGATGTCATGCTCTGATACGCTAATTAAAAGAATTTCTATCTAGGAATAAAAGCCGGTCGTCAAGGTATATACTGAAGTTTCATCTTATGATTAGAGACATGATCCGGTGTCAGGCTCGTTCTATTACATACATGATCGTGATAGACAGACTGACAAGAGTCTATCGTGATGCTTTTGCGGCTTGTATGTGCGAGACAATCTCCTTCTCTTCAACACAAAATGGAATCGGCTGAAATGGAGTGGCCAACATATCAAGGATCAGTACTCATAACAGGTATCGCATTCAGCAAATGCCAATTATAATTGACCCAAAATAGTTATGAAGAATCCTATTCCTACTTGCTTGTTGTCAATTATTTTTTGTTCGTTGCTTTTATAGTTGTAATTCTCTTTCAACCGCTACAGCCCTCTTGTCGGTCGATAGCCTGGAGCCGCTCGCCAGTGATGACGTCATCGCCTGGATGGAGGACCAACCAATCACAGCGATGTTCCCGCCAATCTCTGGTACCGCCCCTCGAGACTGCTATAAAAGTCCCGCGCTCCGTCTGTACGTGTCATTTGAGTGTTTGGAATAAAGCTGAGCTGTCACGAGATCTCTCAACAACTGCGGCACCAAAACAAAAAGGAAGCAGGGAGACCGCGTTACTAAATTGGTTTTCATAAAATACCTCAATTCAGCTATGAATTTCTATAGCAAGTAGCTTGATATCCCCAGTAAAACAATGATGAAAACTCAGGTTTACGAAGAACTAATCATTTTCTTACCGTAATGCGTGACATTTCCCAATACAGGCGATAGAGAGGACAGTGGGGCATCATCGTGCCCGATAACGAGAAAAACTCCGACAACAGCTATGCCATCTGGTCTCTTGAGCGCTTCCTGCAGCTCGATACCCTGACGAACGTGTACCAGATGAAGCTGAATAGGATGAATCTGAAAAGAGTCACACGGAGGGGAAACGATTCACAACGTAATATGTAGGCCAGGCTGTGTAGCAGTTATAGAAAAAAAAAACGCATTTGGAAAAGTAATTGTGAAAATGTGAAAATAGCGCCGCTTTCCATACATGGTCTAGGGATCGAACCCCGGCTCGGTGCTTGCGCGTAGGTCAACAACACTTTCTGTCTCTTCGGAGTTGGCAAGTGGATTTAAAATCGCATATACAGGGGGAATTTCCGCCCTGTATATATAAAGAACTAGAACTTCACAATTCGGACATCAGGGCTATATCGAAAGTGAAAGACGCCCTCCTTCACGTCGATGAGGCAAAACACAGATTCGCTGGTCATTTGATGAGGAGAAATGATGGCAGATGGAGTGCTGCAACTGTGCGATGGTGCCCGCGCGAAAAGAAACGACCACCCGGCCGTCCTCCAGTACTGTTGCAGTTGGGACAACCATAGCTCAAGACCGAGAACGATGGAAGAGAAGTTGGGACCCGCGCAAGGCCAACCGCCAAGCAGATGAACGGGTCGTCTAAGTATCTAAGTATATAACGGGGGGGGGGTGAAGGCAAAAAAAGACATTTGTCTCCACTTTCAATCGATTCGATGCGGACTATATTGGTGCAAGCTAAACTACTACTCTGACGTATACTGTGTATCCAGGTCCAAGTACATACCTCTGCAGGATAGTGCAATCCTCCAATTTTGTGCTCCGATCCTTGGTGATCGTATTGAGCCCAGTGGAAATGGAACTGTTCAAGAAGGTAACATGATGTTTTAGACCGCCACCTTGTATGAATGGCTGTTCAGAGCCCCACTCATCAAAACCATCAACAGCAACTGAAAAAAAACAAGACAAAATTAAATGAAATGCCTGTGAAGAAAATGAAAATCAAACCCAAATTATGAGGTACAAACGAAATGAGCAGTGAGGAGCGCACGAGCAGTGAGGAGCGCAGAATCTAGCAGAGGGCACACAGAAAGATCCTGGTTGAAGAGTTGGCAGTCATTAAGAACACTCTGCTATATTTTAGCACCCTGTGACATTTTATGCAACCATATTCTATTAAAGAATGAGAATTGGAGAACATCAAAGTCAAGTAGAAACGAAACTGTTTCGGATGACTCAGCAGTATGCAAAAGATGACAGCAGAAGGTTTCGACATAAAAAACTCTACCCTGAGAAATTCTACCCTTACATAGTGCCACACTAGGGTGTAATTCCCGCTGGGAAGCAGCACAGGAAACCAGCCCTTTTGGCGTTTCTGCTGGGGCCGTATGCTGAATGTTGGGGAGGGGATGGGGTCCCCGACGGTCGACGGACTACTTCAACTCGGTCGGTACGGTAGGAGAGTACTGACGCAAGTGGTGCAGCTGGTCCAGCAGCTCCGCCAAAAGGGCTGGTTTGCTTACCCAGGACTAAGCCTTGGAGAGTGGCGAGAGCTCCGTCCTCTCCAAGGCTCAGTCCTGGGACCGTATGCTATGCTCCCCCAACAAGGGAGGGGCCCCCTGCCGGCTGCGGCCGCCCCGAAAGCGGTCGTATGCTATGCTCGCGGGGCTCCCCAGGGGATGCAGACATGCAGAGTATCCATGGCGCGAACATCGACCGTCGGCGACCCCACCTCCTCCCCAACATTCAGCATATGGCCCCAGTAGGAACCCTAGAAGGGCTGATTAGCTTACTTCGCACAGGAGGGCCCAGCGCCGTGCAAGTGCGCTTCCAGGCCAGATTTCGTTGACTCTTGCCTTTTGGAATAGAGATGGAGAGCTAAGCCAACAGTAGCGCAATTAGCGAAGCCACAAGGAAAGGCCTCAAGTGGTCAGATAAATCTCATTACCTGTATGACCGTTGTTGATCACGTTCACGGTACCAGAATGGTCGTAATGTACGAATTGCATCTGATGAAGGAGTGCGTAGTCAACGTCGGATGCACGAATATCGATCGGACTCTGGAACAGAGGTGAAGTGTTGACTCTCTTCTGACTCATTTCCTATATGAGAATTAACCGTCCGTTTGCATAATTGCACAGAAAACGCAAGTGCAGTGGTGAATTTCCGAACTTCGGATTCCCTGTTGCAGAAAACCTGTCGAAGATCGGAGGCCCTGCCGTCAAGAATCGAAAATCTAGGGACCGGACACGTTACGCGGCTTTGTGATGCAAGTGGGGCCAGAGCGGCTACCATTTAATCACTTGGGATTCCAAACAAGTACCAGAATGACCCCGGTTTGGCGGGCAAGCTTTCATGAAAGCTTTTACGGGAAAAATTGCTTGTTTGTCAAGCGAGAAGTACCCTATGGGGCCCCTGGCACGTGAAAGGGACGAATGGAAACGATACCAGCGGCTGTTCGAGGAACTCAAGAGAAGGTGCGACAGGTGATACTGGTGGACATAAAATTAAGTCTAACTTAAGAAAAATTACACGATCTAAATTCTTCCGCAGTATTCCTGGGCTAATCACGTCCTGTTGCTAATCACGTTGTATATACCTTGTTTAGAGTTTGTTGTATATAATTGTTTTTCATTTTTTCCTGTTGTACATATGTTGTGCTGAGCTTATAATTTTTTTATTGTATGAAAATATTCGGCTCACTCGACTATTTTTGATGCTTTTCATGTGGAAGATGGAGTTTCAGGACAAATGATGTGCAATATCCCCATAATATGCAATTTTCTGAACTGTCACCAAATTCCTAGCGGCGCATAACGAATAGCGCTCTAGCGCTTATGCAAACAAAATCTAAATGATACTTGCATGGCAGAGTGCGAGCAAAAAGTCCTTGATCTCTATGCAGAAGGTTCATAAGATTGGCCTACAGTAGAATTGGACAGCAAAACGTGAGGGGATGTGACATCATATAAAAAGAGGGTTGGGCATCAAGTGATTGCGCTTTTCGGAGAAAGGAACATTAACATTCTCTCACGTACCGCATGATTCAGGCAATGGTGAGCAAGAAAAGGGGTACACGTCATGCATTCTGTTGCCACTACAGGTGTGGTGGTATTTTGAATGCGATTCCCCTAAACAATAGCGGGCGGAGGACTATCCGAGAAAATGTCAATTTTTGTCTACCCAGACGAATACAGCATCTCCTGGCCGACCTTGGAGGAATGGAAGGCCTAGTTTGCCTACTCGGGCACCCAAGCCTGATGCTCAGAGCATCTTCGCCAAAGTTCGGCACATATGCCCATACCAATGCATAATTCCATAGCCAACAAAAAATAAAATTTTAGTGTTTCTAAAATTTTAGTGTGCAGAAGCGCATACTTGTGCTACTGTCGAGACTTTGAAGCTAGTGGCAAAGGCACTAATAGCGCACGACTAGTAGCACTCGTGCTCACACTATGTACCTATTCTTGCTTGCAGTTTCAAATTGGTTACTTCTGCGTCTCGCTCGTCGCCACGTTCTCTGTTCGTCCTTTCTACTCGATTAAGGCCGCCTGACTCTGTCCTTTTCATACAGTCGTCATTTAGAACGAACAGAACAAACATTAAGAAAGAAAGAACATTTGTATAGGGCCTTACTCACATGTTTACTTTCTATGACGAGCATTACAAGTTAGTGATCGCGGAATTTTTCTGCCTTCCTGTTACGCATTTGCCAGAACTTGTCACAATAGGGTATCAGTTACATCAGTTTCAGCTAGCCGTTGCGCAAAAATTACAAATCCCTGGTGAGTTCTTTAAATTGATGGCTCATGAATGCATTTAGTGCATTTCCTAGTCGAGCCGCATTGAAACGAAGTGTATCCAAGGAGGAAAGATTGTCTTTGAAACATTCGCAACGGCGTACAGCAATATCACGCTTTGCGGACCATGGGGACGGCATGGCATCTGTCATAACTTACCTCGAGCAAAGATGCTCTAAGGCCATGCGCGGGAGGATACCGCGCAGCACTTTCCTAACTGAGCGTCGACTGTGAAAGAGCACGGACCCTTGGTTGTCTGCCGCTTTCAAATCGCCCGCGAAATTTATAGTCAGTCTAGCATGATGCAAACATTCTGACCAGTCGCCTTCGTCTGTCGCTACATCGGCCTTCAAGGTCCGCTTGTTGTTTTGTGCTCATATAACGTCCTCAGCATAAGGCGGACCACGCATGGACCCAATTATTCTCCTTTCGCTTGAGTTGAGGTGATACCTACTATTCTTTATAATAATGAATAGTAGCCAGGGTTTCCCCCTCATCTTTTTCTAAATTGTATTTTGTTTTTTTGTTAATATATATGAGGGAGTTTAATCTTTTGTGAACTTTCTCTAGTGATCGTAGTTTGCTATTCACTGTAGTTATCTTTCAGTAGTCTTACGTTTAATTTCTTAATTGTTTTACAGGTGTTTCGTTTTGTAAAGTTCGTATTATTTATTATGCCATGGTTTGCATGGAGATCAGTCTTATTTACTTTAATTTATTTATTTATGAGTGCAGCTGCGCCCCTGCAACGAACTAACAATAGAAAACACTTTGGCTAGTTAAGAGGACGGTAGCCCTATTATCTTTACGGAACTATCTCCTATGGGCAAGTTACGGTTGTCTCTAGAGGTACGCAAGTGCCCTGCACCAGTGGAGGTGTTTTTACGTGATATCGACCCGAGTTTATACCGAATTGGGTATTTCAGCACTTACTTGTCTATGTCCATCCTGGCATGTTTTATGCCAATTCTCAGGACCATTCCCTTCTCGATAACCCCAGTGCTCTCCTCCTTCGTCACCTTCGGTTCCTAAATTGAGCGTTGTACTCATAGAACTACTGCAAACCCATAATTCAACCTTGGGGGGGGGGTGAAGGAACAACTTTGACTGGCTTATTTTCCATTTTCATGAAAGACATTTTCTGTGCTAGTTCAGAATTTACCTCCAATTAGGAAGGGCAGCAAGAAGTTGAGCATGGTGGACATTTCCTGGAAAATTTCTCTTTGAGAAAGCTTGTTTATATTCACTTGATTGGCGCTTATAACCGCTGATGTTCAGTCCACATTTATATTTATGCATTTATCCAGCTAGCTCTCGTGTATCCAGTGTGCGCCATGAACATGTTATCATTTTTGCTTCAAATTTACTTCTGGAGACATCAGTGTTGTTAGGGTAAGAAGAAGCCGAAGATCTGTTTAAAAAAATCCAGAAAATTTTTGCATAAATACGGGTCTCAGTGCAAAAGTAATGCATATACTGGGAAATCTCTATGATTCTGGATTACCAGTGACGTAACGTTCATTTCGGGCTGAATCACAGGGGGAGGCACGGTACATGTGCAGTTTTGAATTTTCCCGGATATTTCCACCTCCACTTACCGTGACCCGCGAAATCACCGCGTCCCACTATACCTCAAATTTTTGCACATACGTCAAATAAATATTTTTTTCTAGCCTATGTGGTGTAAGAAAAACTCAGAGTTGAACAACTCAAACTCAGGGCAGCGTTCAGAGTTGGCGCTCGTACATGAAATAGGCGATTGGGCGAGTATGTGATCGCCTTCTAATTCCTAATCGCCTATTCACCTATGTTCACAGTTGGCGATCGTACGCGCGATTAGGCAATTAGTCTATAATGAAAAATATGCGTATAGATCAGAGGATTGGGCGAGTAGGCGAGTAGGCGATAGGCGAAAAGGCGATCGCTCAATGGGCGGAGCAACAAATCACACGTTCTACCTTACCGCTTATCGCCTACTCGCCTGATCGACTACTCGCCTGGTCGCCCAATCGCACGTACGATCGCCAACTATAAACGCTTCATTATCAGTTACTCGCGTAATCAATTAGTCGATACGTACACTTTCGCCTTGAGTCATCGCTCAATCGCCTAATCACCTAATTGCATGCACGATCGCTAACTCTGAACGCTGCATAAAACACAGAAGGCCGCGTTCAAAGTTCGCGGCTCCGGAGAGTAGGATAGTGCGCTGACAAGATTAGATACGTATCGATTGAAATCGCTGGAGAGTAGTAGATTGCGATATTACGATAGTAGGAGTAGAGTAGGAGATTAGGATAGTAGTAGAGATTAGGATAGTGCGCTGACAAGATTAGATATGTATTGATCTATTCGCTTGAAGTCGCCCAATCTACTACTCTCCAGCGATTTCAATCGATACGTATCCAATCTTGTCAGCGCAATCTCCTACTCTACTACTATCCTAATATCCTATCGCCTACTATCCTAATCTCCCGAGTCGCGAACTATGAACGCGGCCTAGCGAAGATAAATAAAGAAACAATAGAACAAAGCGAGAAAATTGGAACAAATAGGTTACCGCAATGCAATATAGATCGGAACGAATGGACTTGAGTCTTACGAAGTCAGTCAAATGATAATAATGTTGATAGTGGCTCAAGAGCTTGCAAAAGATACGGACTATAAACAAAGAATTCACAAGAAATTCGTATAATAAGTAAAAACAGTGAAAAGAAATTTTAAGATGCTTGTTAAAAAAAGTGGAAAAAGAGCCATTGTCAGGCTATCGTATAAGTTTTATAGTGGTCGGAAAGCCGCTAGAAGGCAAAAATTGTGAATAACGCCTCTGTCGACAATAGTCGACCAAAAGTAATGCCTTTCTTTAGTGTAAAGTTTGGTTACTGTAGTGCTTAGATTAAGAGATATGGCAGATTGTTTTCTTCTAGAAAGCTGCGAAGATGAACAAGATTCCAGCGCGATGGATAAAAGGCAGCCGCCCACGGAATCGAGGCTTTTTGCTCTTGGAACGTTCGTACGGACTGGTCTGCTCCCGTATTCGTCTGACGGTGGATTGGTTCATCATCGACTGGATAATCTTCAACTATTTCCTGCATAGTATTCGCTGTATTCATTAATAAAGCTTCGTAGCAGTCGTCTGAGGTGACTAGTATTCTGACGGGTTCGACCGACCGCAGTTCGCGCCGTTCAATTCGAGTATTCTGCCTAGGTACACCGCGTTACTCTGCAGATCACTTATAATGATGTAAACAAAAGGTTAACAAAAGGCACAAGGAAGAAAGATGAAGAAAGGACAAGAA